ATGGACACTAGAGGTGTCGAAAATTATTTTTGAAACCTAAACTCGACATAAAATTGTACTTGTTCCACACCATTCCATTGTGTAACGCGCTTATAAAGGAGAAAGCGAGTACATTTCAAATGGATTTCGAATAAATAGTGGAGACGTAAACAGGGAAGGCAACACAAAAAATTGACCCTTATTCCTGTAACAGCCTGTAACAGAGCTGAAGATTAATGCTTACACTATCTGCTAGTTTGACATTCAGCCGACGGTTTCTATACAAAACTCATTAAGTTCTGAACCCTTTCAGGTTGCTTCACATACTCATATTGTGTCGAATTGTATCCTGTAGCTGTTGAAAATCTATATCGCTTTGTATAATGTGCCTTGATATCTAGCTACCACGTAGAAGCACAATGAAAATTACGTGACACCAAAATACGCAAATTCAAAAATCCAAAGATTGAATGCGATTTGAATGTAAATTGTACATAAGCCTTTGCTAAATATAATTTGACTCAATAGCCCTGTCACACACAACAGGAAGACTATAGGTTACAACCTGATTAAGACACGCCACAGGTAAACGTATGATTACTGCAGTAAGTGATGCAGAATAATAATTTTATCAAGAAAACAGTAAGGTAATCGGTAAAATGAAACAATCTCGAGTTCCGTAACATTTACCGTATTGTCTATTTCATGGTCACGGCACCTTTTTCGATTTATTGATGACAACATACCACATACGTAATAGTGATTAGGACAGATATGGAAAATGCAATACTGCCGATACTGCTAAAAATGCCAAGCAAAGCAGAATGCTATAAAGTCAGTCAATGGATCACTCAACCTGGTGCAACTCGATGAATTTCTTTGTTGCCCTAAAACTCCTAAGCTAGTTATACTTTTTCCATATAGATATATATGGTTACTATAGAGGGGCCTCATACAGCTACAGGATTTCGATAGTCTCCACTGTTATAGTATAATAGAGCTATAGATGATGTAGCTCGCTTGGTGATACGGCTAAATGTCATCATAAAATCGCATGAGAACACACGCTTTAAAGAGATTCGGTGAATATAGACATGCTTTGGGCTTTGCGAAACTATAGAGGTTTAACAAAGGTTTATCGTGCGTGAATCTGAAGTTTATAAAAAGAAAAAAATGCTTAAATATATTCCTCCAATGTAAGGATTTTGTGTTTCTTGTACGTTCTCCTTTGTTGTTTAATACAAATAACTATTTATGGACAGAGAGAGTAATCATAATTATTATTGGCTCTACATTTGAACACAATCGTTATCTCAGTATGTGCTACACATCAAAAACACAGTAAGAGTATTCAGCGTCACGTTAAACCGTTCATACTCCATTTAAATCGAGGGAGCATGCCTTGCTCCAGGTTACGATAACCTACGTAGTCAGCAGTCTAGGAAGGGATTTATAAAGATACAGAAGTACACGGTGGGGAAAATCTATAACTCGAAGAGTCAATAGCATAGTATTTTGGCCACAGTTTAAGAACACGACCAGCCCACTGTTACCTCTGTCCAAAAGTCAAGCCGAGGGACTTTGCAGATAAGCTTAATTAAATCATTTTTCCAGCGAGGTTGAGTGAGTTGCTTGCTATGTTGATGGAGTATTTAAGTTTTTGAAAAAGATTACATTTAATGCTAAAAAATATTCACAGAAAAACCTCACATAACGTTAGCCAATTAATTTTCGAAATCCCAAACGATAACAAACGATTTGTGAGGCCGTCAGTAGAAGGAACGGCATGCAATTTACTTCCACGGAACGCGAAATGTCTTGATGTCTAGAAGCAGGGCATACTTATAACTCTGAAACTTTGTGGGAGTCCACATATTACTAAATCGTCATTGGAGACCGCATCGCCAATGATAAAACTAAGTGGAGATAAGTCACAAATATCATGTGGTATAAGTTAACGGCGGACCCTGAACCAAGAAGTGTACCTTTAGTTGCCTGATGAAAGTCAGCTTTACTTGACCGGACTTTGCGTAACGACGTATTCGTTTGTTATCATACTGTTCATTATTTTGGATCGTAATTCATTATTTACTACTTGCTTTTTGACAATAACTTGTCCATTTCTATTTTGGTCAGACGATGCTGCTTTTTTTTTTCGTCTTTCTGTGTTTTTCTTCACGTAGTGCATTTAAACGCTTGCTAACAATGTGTTAATGCGAAAAGATATATTAAGAGCGTAAAAATGAAAGTAAGTTTTCTATATTGCGGTTAGTTGGATGTATCAAAAATGAAAACAAGAGCGACTTTAAACACAAACCACGCGCAGAAGAAAACGTTTGCTTTCAAATATCTAACAATTTAATTAAAGTTCGACGGTTTATTATTTACGTTGGTCTAATTCTCAATGTATTTACAAATTACGATTTATAGACATTATACCAAAGCAAACAAGTTTATACTTGTAGCATTGAAAGTTTTACGTATTGCCTTAATGTATGTGTTTTGTATGAAAATAAGGACTACGTTTACTTTTTTTATTGTGCTAGAAACAAGATTCAGTCTGAACGAAAAATGCACTATTATCTTTCAAAAAACGTGACAAATGTGCAAAAACAAACAAAGTACAAACAGCGAACCTTTTTTTTTTAAGAAAGGTCCGCAATTTTTGTAACCCAGTGCAATTAGAAATTGTGAAGTGTATAAACCCAATATTATGGTACCGAAGAAGGGAGAACAAGAAAGCAATTGTGCATTTTTTGGAAGAAATTTTCAGTTTTTGACTCGTAGCCGCATATCATTAAATCACTGAGACTCTTACGAACATACGTCATAGCTAGATCAAATGCTTACAATTCGCGAAGGTCAATGGTAGGCTAAGTTCGCGATAGAACAAAAACTCTGGTGCAAGCATTATGTTTATCAAGTAAAATCCGTAGTGCTCGGTATGAGCTAAGTGTAAGCAATTTTAATTAATACTCCTGCTTCACAATTTTTCGCGAAAAAAAAAAATTTCTTGAAGCAAGTACTACTGTGGATGCCGTAGGGCCTCCAGGTGTTTTGAGAGCTGTGTTGGAAAGCGGAACCCCTGCGTATTTTGGTCGAAGTTTACTAAACCCATAATCCAAAAATTTAATGTTCAAAACAACCCACAAGACCCTAAAGTTAACAAAAAACGCTTTGTGTGGTTAAAATCAGTGTTCATAATACAATTGATGCGTTGCTTATACGTCAAAAATGTCAACTACAGCATTTTTCGATGAATACGGTGCAACCTAAATCTATATTCCATATTTTAGCTTAGCTCCTCTATCGTTTGTGATCCTCATACTTATCACTAAATGATATTTTTGAAACCGATCAAACATTATTTTCACAATTGAAAAGAACCAGATTCAAAGGCCATACTGTTACCTTTAACTTCGCCCTCGTTTCTTTGCTTTGCATTTATTTTACATTGGTGATCGTCTTCGAATAGATGCTTGCGACAATGGCATCTCTTTATGTATAACTCAATAAACAGCCTAGTTTTTTTGCTTCGCAAGTCGCCTAAGTCTCGTTGTTTTTCTGGGTGTTTTATACCGTATATATATATATAGCAACTTTTGCTTCTTGAGTGTCTTATTCTGCTATTTGCTATACGTCAAGTTATATTATTAGTAGGTGCGTTGTGGTTTCTATGGGCAAATGGGCGCCGGGCTCCATATAGGCTTGCAGTGATTTGATACGCCTTAACGTCCCGCCGTCGTATGCCTCTGCTTTTACCAGTGCAATCCAATATCTACCGCTATCTCACACGAATATGTCACTTGCAGTCTTGCGTATATGCGCAGCACGCTTCGCTGCTAGTCAATCCCTTTGTAGAAAATCGACCGGCGATACTTCTTTATACATATATTGTATTTACACTTCTCAATAGTATAATAGGAACGTATTCTTCCGTAGTAACGTGGGAGAGGTTACTCCGCTCTGTTAAAGCTCAAACGCTCAAATTGAAACAATATTGATACAACAATTAACGCGTGTAGATAGTAAAGCATACATTTGTGTTGTATGAGAATGCTGCGAGATTATAGCTAGCAAGGAACAATTATGGAAAGAGATTCATCAGTAACAACAATTATGCAACTTTAATAAATGAGGGTATGTTCGCTTCAAGTCTGAGATATGCGTATATATAAAGGCTGAATATGAAAGTAATCATCTAATTCTTAGTTAAAATGGTTTAAGTCTAGAAATTATATTTATATATTCTTATAAACAACATACAAAGGATAAATCAATATATATATATATATATATATATATATATATATATACATATATATAGAAGCGATGTTGCTTCTGCACACTTTATCCATGGTATTCTTTACTTGGTGAAGTATACTGTATTGATAATAGGTGATGTGCAGTATAATTATAATTGTGAGGTAGACTGCGCACACATTTTATTTAATTTAATTAATCATCAGATCCAAGCCAGTAGATTGATGGCTGCCACTCATTTATCAATTCTAGTGGGAAATTAGTTTTTTTAAACGAATAGATCAATTACCTGCCAATGTGTTAATTGGAAACACTTTTATAAAGATTTACGCAGGTACATGCCCATGTATTTCTATTCAACAGTACGAACAATGTATTGGCAACCTAAAAATGCTAGTATAAAACGACATTACTTCTTGATTGGCGTTTGAAATTATTGCAAACAGGCAGTCTGGAATTTCGAATGATTCGCGTATGTATGCCGAGAACACGAAGTCGTTTTTATTGGGCAAACTTAGCAATATGATGGTGATATCCGTCTCAAGTTAAAAATTATTCATTCGATTAAAAAATAATTTTAGTGCATGCACTTGAATCAGACAGACGGAATAAGTTCAATTGATCACACTTAGTACTCGCAGATTATTCGGACTATCTGTGTCGTCGATAACATTACGAAAAACAAAGGTAATGCTTCTTTGATCCGGGACCTTTATACCTAAAGACCTATGATGTCATTTAAAACACGCTGGAATGACTACGTTTAGGGTAAAATTGCTTTATTTCAAGCTTAACTCACATCACCTTTGCTAAGCATTCTACATTGCTATTATATACAACGGAGCGGATGCAGGCTCTTTTTTCGCGTCCTCAAGTTTGTTGAATATCGTCACGTAAAAACCTTGATTTCAATTCCATCTTAACATTCGCTCTTAACAGTGTTGTTAAAATGTATTGTAGGAAGCAACATATTTTATGCGACTATGCCTATCGGGAAGGAATTCCTTTGTGATAGTAATATTAATAATAAAGTTTAGCTTATTACTTAGAACACCAGCTGTCACGAATATCGTCACAGATTGATATAAACCTACTTGAAGGTGAAATAACTCCTAACTGCACACAATGCTGACGCCGCCATTTCTTTTCAATCCTTGTTGACGATTTATTAGCATCATAAGCACTGATTCTCGTTTCTGGCTGTTTTTTTGTTCCGTCTTTCTCAGCGCTTCATTTGACCAATGCCACGCCAATCCATGATTCCTTCTTAACCTAATAATAATTTAAAAATGAAAAAAAATTTTCTGGTTACACGTAACTATAAAACTTAGTTATAAAAACCATGCTTGCTTCATACTTAGCTTTCCTGGCCTACAAGAAACCTCTCAACTATTCGATAAATTTCGAGGAATGCATACTACTCGAGGATGAGTTGATCATTCCTGCATTGAATTGAATTAACTGAAATAAGTTTGGCACACGCCGAATTCTTCGTGTATCTTACACTGAAGTAAAAAGAATTCAAGTCTGATCTTAACTGATAATAATACTCACCGTAGAGAACTGGCTTATGGAGCTCATGTGTGCGTCAAGCTTTTCTTGACAAAATCCCCTGCTCGGCTATGCCTCGTTAGGTTGGACGCCAGATTTTCCCGTTTATTTTTTTGATGCGGCTGCGTCCATCGGTGTGGCGCGGCCATATTCACCCGAACATGCTTCTTCTTTCTTCTCATTTAGGCTCTGTTCTATTTATTGTGCTTTAGTTCTATAGCTGTTACTATTTAACAGGCTCGGCAGCAGATTTTAAATTTAAATATGACATATTACTTGGCAGTTTTTATAGTAGTTACAACGATGTAGAAAACTAAACATTAGTTTGGCCACGGCTTTCCCTTTGGATGTCTATTGCGTCTAGTCTAGGCAGACAATAATTGCCTGAACAGCAGTAGCACTTTTTTCCTTCGTGTGCCATTCTTCCCATTTTTCCTGTTGAACGGAAGGACTAACGTTTAAAACAGTAGAAGCTGACCCCATTGATTGGCCTCCTTCTGTTAGGAAAACTTTTTGATAGGAATCAGGACAAATCAGAGCTTGAAGAACTATTCGCGACTCCTTAGGCTCACTGAAACCCCGTGGACTGAAACTGACACCAGATGCAACCATCGTTAGGTGATAGAACACTAGAAATGCAACCCTTAATTATAGCAATTCTTTAACAGTAGCTTTCTTTGATGTAAACTGAGTAAAATATTACTCGTCTGTTCACTTTAATCGAAGTAATAAATTAATAGATCACTGCATTAATGTAGACAAGCATTACTAAATAACCCAATGCTCACTAGTCACCTGTAAAGACAAACAATTTTCTAAAAATTGCATACATAGTTTTATCACAGAAGCTTAGTTCTTGATCTCGTTATAATACTATTACCAATCATAGTAAGGTTAAATTGTCTTGCTAATCTCTTATGACTTCACTGCACCCCCCGAATTCTATTAGTTGACTAAAAAAAAGAATCTGTGTGCAGATTTTGATCGATTACTAACCGATGTGCTGGTGCTCGTGACAGCGCGTATCGAAGACAAGGAGTTGCACAAACAATTGGCGCAGATGTTTTTCCATCAAGATGCTTTGCGCTTGCACCTGCCGCAACCACAGGTGCCACCCCCCACTCCTGGCGTGCTAACAGACGGCCATGATCAACACATTTCCGTATAGCTCCAAGTGGAATCTCTAAGCTAAATGCGACGTCCCATGATGGAGAGCTCTGAAATGTATTCCGAAAATAGATTACGGGAAAAATGAAAACTTGAATGGCAGTTCATATGATTGGGGAAAAGATCCGCACTTTAAAAGAAAAATACAAAAAAAAGATAGACATTTATTTCTCCTACGCCTATTCAGTGTAGCTGCGATCTCACTTATTATTAACTATGACTGTAAACCTTCGTAAATGTGTGTGGTACCTTTTTGGACGAAATAAATCTAATAATGAGAAACTTTATTTGACCATAATATTGTAATGTATAGGCTTTTTTAACACAGGAAGTCGATATTTGAGATGGTGGTCAGTATCAGTGAACGAAGCATTTTTCCGATAGAAACATTGAATATCGGTATTTTCATTCTATTGTCAAACGTTCACATTTTCGTAAAACTAACACGTTCTCGGTTTTAACAGACTTAACGATTTACACGACTGCTTCGGTTGGGAAAGCTCAAATATGTGTTCTATCTGTAGACGAACTTTTTGACATCTACACAAAGCTGTCAATTAATTCAAAGCGAATAGCAGTAGTAGATCCAAGAATATGGGAATTAGAATCGTCCTGTTTGCTTCTTTAACATCAAAATGGGGCTACTAAATATATTTTAATTTTGGCCGGCAACCTTAGCGCGCCGTAATGTTTAACGATATTAGTGTATTTCAATGTATAGCATCTCACTTCGTTCGTACGCGATGAAGGTTTAATGTTCTAGTGCTGAAAATGTAGATATGTACCTAACGCATATTGCTGTGGACTGCAATGCTCTTGGCGCAAAACTTTATGGAAAACCATTTGCTAACAGGCGCTGGTTAGCGGATCATTCTGTTGCGTTCCAGTATGTACATCAACAATTCTGCGTAAGAGCATATATTTGAATAGAAGTCTTGACTGGAAAAAGACGCAGGACAACCAAATAATATCGACTTATCCTCTATTCAGATAAAACTAGGCGTTCCTTCATAATAACTTAGTGCGTTTGCTGAGAAGGACTCGTCACATGGCGGCCACAATCGTCCGATGTAACAAGTTCGAATTCCTTGTTGTGGACATACATGAAAAGTGTTGTGTACGAAACTTCAGTGAATCTAAAGAACATCTAGTTGCGGAAATCCCTGTCATTGCTGTGCAAGTGTGGTCAACAGTCAAGAGTATGCTGTGATTCCGAGCTGGAGGATTTTCTGCGTCACGAATTTAAGCAGGTTACACCAACGAGATATATGTTACTGTAATGTACAACAAGGGTTTCATTCAACTTTTTGCTAGCCCTAACGGAGCTTTCTCTGACATAAGGAGAATATTCATGTAACTGATTTTTCGAATGTAATGCAAAATAATACTGACAATTTCATTTTAATGCAGGAAAGCGATAAATAGGGTTTTTGAATCATTGGTAATTTTACTTTTATCTCGTTTACAGCTTAAAGGAGGGGTGAAACGATAATAACAACACTGTAGATATGTTTAGATCAATAAAAATTGTCTATGTTGAAGCCTGCTAACTCACTGACTATGTCCAAAAAAATCTAGACAAAAATATGTAGAGCGAGCACCACAGGAAGGTTCTATCGGCAACTAGAGGTCGGCTTATGGCGCCAGCTATTTTACCGCAATAATTCTAGTAATTGTTGTCAATAATTTTGAATCAATACTCTACTTATTGGTAAAGCATCATCTACTAAGCCATTATAGGATCACCAATCATTAATATAATTTAATCTATAGTATTTATAAGAAACGCGAACTGGTTAGTTTAGGTTTTTTAGTACTGTAATTTAATGACAGTTCACGATATAACATGATAATACTGAACTAGATATTTGTTTGATCGAAAACATCGTCGCAGGCGTTGAAAATAATTGAGAAAAAGACATATGTTTACTTCTATAATACGCACCCTTACGGAAGTCTTCAGAGTAAAAGTAGAGCACTTCTTCATCATCTTTCCTTTTACATTTCCTTGAAGCAAACAAGTGTCACACGAACATCTTTGACCATCGACAAGATGCCACGGGAGACACAGCACATAACGAAGAAAGTATATGGCTACCTGATGGTTTGGGCAGGCCGCTAACGCCAAACGCGTCCTGTCGATCTGTACAGGTCGAGGCTCCTAAAAGAGAACAAAACAAAACAGATAAAAACGAGAAATATAAGATATTGAAACTATCCTTCTGATTAAACTCCAATAAATAGTCATTAATAACATTACAAAAAATAACTGCCAATACAGTTTACTAACATTTGTTTTGAAAGGGAATGCAAAGTCGTTTAATACTTCAGGTTAAAAAAAATCATATTTCTTTCTGCGGTTGATATTTTCCGACATAACTATTAGTCTTACTCTATTTTAATCCATATTTGGCATGTATCATCAGAAACCGTATTCAACGCTCTATTCCATTCCGGCTGCATCAAATTACTCTTCTTATGTTTAACGAAAAAATATAAAGCAGCGTTTTTCTAAATGTTTTCAAGTGTCTCGCATTCCAATTGATTTTATAACGAAGGGTTAGTTTAAGTTAAAAAGTTCACAAGGAAGGTATAGAAAAATTTTAACAGATTTATCTTAACAGCAATGTTTATAGAAGTGTTACTGAAAACGGACCTCAAATTTAACTCATCTTCCATACATTTATGTGCAGGCGTTTTGCGATTGCCTGTTTGAATAACAACGCCATCGCCGTAAGGCCTAAGCAGAGAGCTAGACGTTTCCATTTTAATCCTTGATAAGTAAAAACAAAAAAAATGTAATGAATATAGAATTTTGAGTAGTATATTAAAACATTAAATAAGCCGTCAACGTTTCATTTGCGGCTGTATAATATTTTTCTGTATCAATGACACGTCTTACATCTAAGAATGTGTTTCAATGTCATTAGGTAATTTCTAAACGTCTCCTGAGAGAGAATGGATATATCAATCTGAGACTCTGCCGAGCTTGCTATGTGTCCTCCATACTAAAAACCTCTGTTCTATACAGTGGAAGGTAAGACATTTCAATCTTTTTTAAGAAATAAGCGTTAATCGGGCTTCCAGAATGTTTTAGATGCACGTGGATTAGAAGTTCAGCGCGATTCACATTATTGGATGCTTTTCTTTAACTGAATATCAAAAGGTGGAACTTCATGGAACAACTATATACTTTTTTCGCATTCCATCGAGCTTTCACTTACTAATGATTAAGCAAAATCCCAGCTCGTTGGCACAGCGTAGTTCAGCCGATTCCAAAGCTATATTTTCAAAAGCAAATTGACAGCAAATTGCATTTTACAAAAGTCATAACGTTAAGTAATATTAGATGCTCATCTTGCGGGTTATACGGGTTAGGGTGACATGAACGTGCTAGTGCTAAAGCTATTCGAACACTTTCACACTTTGTCCTTTACCCATAAACACCGCTTTTCCAAAGAAGAAGAGCGTTTCCCTCTCACCCTCTTTGCACTTGTGCATCATTAATGGCACATATAATTCCATTTCGTAGAGCTACGTGAGTTAAAAGTAATGTGTTTTAATAAGCCCATTTCAGACCAAGTTGTTTTCAACGATACCGTTAAGTAAATTTTCATCTACCTTCTACTACATGTCAACAAAGTATAAATCGAACATATTCTAGTTAAAAATACGGTTCTTCTGAATAGAAAGTGGTGTTGACTATATTTTTATAATTACAAACCTGTAAATTTTCTTTTCGACCCTGATTATCATCAAGGTGAGCCTTCTCCAAAGCCTCGATTGCTGTGTCCTCCAGCGGATCACCTATAGGCTCATTATCCTGGAGAACCTCTAGTTTCTCACACCGGCCGTAGAGATCACAGAGAGCAAAGCAGCGCGATGCAAAGACATTTCCACACGCAATGCCTTGGTCAATTCCATTAACAAGGAGATGCATCTGACGAGATGAGTCAACTAAAACTCCGACAGTCGACTGTTCCTTTAGATGGTCGAGATTTGGCCCGTAATTGTCTTTTACCTTCGTTTTAAACAAGATTAAATTATAAAAAATATATATAAAATATACAACTTTAAACGCTGCTCGCGTATCAATAGGGCGAGCTAATACCACCATTTGAAAAATTAGACGATACAAGTACGTTTTCCTGATTTCTTTTTACACACAACTTTTTGAAGTTTGAAAATCGGTTTCATTAAATTGGATTTTCTGAATTGACAGTCACAATTACTGTTACGTCGGCTTGGTACACCATTTTTTACATACAGAACATGAAACTACCAAAACTACGGCGATATAGAATATGCTATAATTAATAATATAGTTACGATGATAATGAGGGTACTTAGATACTAAAAATAAAGATGGTCGACCATACTTTCACAAATCACAACATATGCAAATTTGCTAAATTTTGCGCCCCGAAATAACTGATATAATATTGATAGGAAGATATTATATGTTAAAAATAAAAATATCTGCTTATATATATATATCATACTATGGCTTTTTAAGTGCGCCTCGATGCCCGATGCTGTAAAAAACAAACCTTTTTTTATTAATGAATTTGATAATAATATTAATGATATATAAATTTTTGAGGTAGAGAATATCTGTAATAACAATAATATAGAGTGTGGATAATATCGACTTACCTTTCTACCATTGACGTAAACAGATTTACCTATAATGAGCCAACAGAGTTTCGTAAATTCCAGCGCTGAAGATGGAAGTATCAAAGGTATTTCACCTAGAATTCCAATACACATGGAAGACTCCCATTTTGCGGAGCTTAAACGAGACACACGCACTGAAAATGCCTGATCCACCTACAAGTAATATAGATCAAAATTATATATCAAAATAGAACTTAAAATTTTAGTAAGTCATTGAGGTGCTCTAAAAGATAATACATTTATGATATATATATTAGATCCTAAAGATCATAATATTTCAATCGTGTTTGTGATCACAATAATTATCGTTTTTATATGTGAATACACATAATTTTAATCTAAAAAAAGCAGAATTGGGCACAGAAATTCATATATAACGATTCGAGCGTATTGTTTAAAAACTAAAGTAAGATGCACCTTTGTTCCAGTATAGAAAAAATCCAATAAAATTTAGATGTCTCACTACAACAGTGCAGCAACAAAAGTAAACGAATAATCAGTAATGCTTTATAAGTGCTTAGTTATCCTCCACGCAAAAACCGCCTTACCCCTGTAATTCTGCCATTTTTATGGGACGAGGTGGATTATTGTTATTAATTCATATTATAGCGTAGACAGACTCTGCACAAAATCCACTCAATCTCGATAGATGAACTCCTTCAACAGCATTAACATATTTTCTTAGACCGCGTGGCCATCACTCCTTACAACAACAAATATAATAGTACAAATCGATTCGAACTACGATCGACCGAAAAAAGTACGGTGATTTTTGAGATATCTAACTCTAAAGTAGGATAACGGAGTATTGCAGAACAAAATAAGTGATTCGAATATATTCGTATGGTTCATAGATCGAGACCTACAGCTACATCATTACCTTAAGATGATGCGCGCACACTCAGCACTTAGATCTAATGCACTACATTTTTGTATGTACATACGAGGTATAACTATTAACGCAGTGAAGATCTTCTGTAAACACTGTCTTCTATACACTATCGGTTGAGGAAGGCACTTTTGCGAAACCCAACTTAAGGAGATTCGTATCTCGAATGTAACAAAACCACATGGCCTAAAATAATCGGCAAAAAAATGCACACTTCTACTTTTTGCTATATTTTTCTCAAGTTTTAAAATCCAACCAAAGAACAAAATGAGTTATTGGCAAGACTCCGTCTAGGCATGCTAGGGTACCGCTAAAGAAATTTGCTAGCTCTTGCAATGAGAGTTTTCGTAAACCTATTTTTGTGACTAATATTAGCTATTTATATATAACGCTGATTCTCTCACAATTATTATACCGGATGACAAATATTAAGGGCAATGTCGAGAACTTACAGCTAAAGGTTGAGCTGACATTACGATTGCGTCGTTAAATGAGGCAACCCTTTTGGCAGAGGTCCCACCAGCCGCCAGCTGAATATTTGAACCTATGAGCGACTCAAGGAAGCGATTCACTACCGTACCACAAACAGAAACGGGCAGCGCCTAATGTGTAAAAATAAACGAAGCCATTATAATTAGCATTAGTACACTTTAGAAAAAAATGCATACATTTTGAAAAGTTAAAGCTGCGCAAAATGGTTTGATGGTTGTAGCACTAGTTCGACAAGCATACAAAGTTCGAGTCTCGGTTGTGGCGTGCTTTTTTTTCAGGTCGTAGTACTTAGAGGATAGTTAGAACATAGATTTGTTCAAATTCCTGATTCATAAAATTGCAAATTAATTATACAGGCAATAAACCATTTTTTGTATGTGATACTGTTAAGGTACTAATGACCATTTGAAATACCTCATAACAGCTGGGCGTATGTCGACTGGGAACGAAGGCGCTTGAGCAAAGTGAGACGCTCTCGATAGCGCCAAAGAGATCGAAGACAGCTAACATTGCACGCGGAAGATTTTGCGTTGCTACGTTCTGATCCTCCCCATTTACATACACGTGCATGGTTCCTATTGACATAATATTAGGCCAGAAAAGCATTTAACATAGCATATCTCACCCCACACGCAGCTTCTCATTATAGAAAATCAAATTATTTTGTGATTTCTTTAACACAAAATCTTAGTCAAAATCTACGTTCATATTGAAGAACGCAGTTTTGTTGGAAATAATTCAATACATTTTCGTAAAACACGAATCGCCTTGGTATCTATGCTTTTGTTTGTATGGTTTCAAACTTGACGTCGAAATGAATTTCTACAACAGGCTGTAGTTGAAGAACGCTATATTCGGTACAAAAGTATACAATTATTTAAGTGACTCATTCAAAGGTTTCATAAATTAAAATACTGCATCAGTATTAAATTTCTGAACTACAGTTGCAACATACTTACGGACCTCGCGTAAGTTTGCTGTTTTCTTCGATTCGCATAACAGGAAAACCATTTTTAGGTAAAGTTACGCGACTCAAATGTTCATCTTGAAGAATATTGCCAATTTCTGCGCCTCCGCAAACAAACTGATAGAATGTAAGGAATGCTACTTTAAAAAAATTTAATCTGGCTAACACGATAAGTAAAATTTGAAGAAATCATTACATCTGTAACGATACTATAAACTCTAGCAAATACTTCTGTTCAAGATGTTTGTAAGTTAAGATTACGGGCTGTGTTACCTGTGTCTATTTAAGCAATCAAAATGTTTTAGCCGTCACTGATCTTGAAACAAGACAGTGAATTAAATCACTGCTAATGTCAGCCCCACTTTTCCTACTGTGCATAACTATACAATATTTAGCACTAGAGATTCACAGAAAAAAAATAGGTAGGGTCTTACCGTCCGAACAATGCTCTACACCAACCCTCTCGCCTCCAGTAGCTCGTGCAAGTGCGGGTGAGCCATAATTATCTTTGACTAGAGTAGTATTTGAATATACCTGCGTCCAAAAAATGACCAGATTGCACAGTAAAGATACAAAAAAATCATTATATATATAAATATCTTTTGTCACTGGTTAGAAGGGTATCTATAATGTTCAACACTTCGCAAACTCTTATTGGCAAGAGAGAAATAAGAAAAAGCACAAACCTTCCTTCCAACAACAAGACAGGTGATATAGCGAGTGTCTGCAAGAAGTTCCTGGAACGAGCGATAATTTACGGGCCCGCCCTGCGGGTCGTACGTTGTTAAACCAACGATCACATTTGCTGTCAACATATTAGCGTGAATCTGAAAATAAAGATTAGACTTTTTTCTTATTAATGATACTTTTACCACTAATTTAAGACTATAGTAGCTGTATATATATATATATATATATATAGAGAGAGAGAGAGAGAGACAGACAGAGAGAGAGAGAGAGAGAGAGGGATACAAGCAAAGTACAATGTTTGTGAATAGTCTAAATCGCGAATGCAACTTATAATATATATATATATATATATATGTATTCATAAACATTGTCCTTTGCTTGTATATCTAGCTATATATTAACTACGGAGCTTACCTGTTCGATTTGGACTTCAAACAGTTCCTCTAGGTCGAGTGGTCCACAGCTAAAGAGTAGGCCATTGTTAAAACCTAAGGTACGGCATGCTGAACGACCATCATTACGAAGAACTACATTGTGGCCGCACGATTTGTTTAACTGATGGCTGGTACTCCCGCCGCCTAAAATGAAATGCGTTGAGCGAACGAACGATTATAACCATACATTACCAACATTCCGCAAAGTATTTAGATGTGGCACACTCGCATAGGCTAGCTTCGTTTAAACTGTACGAGTGTACTCGTTAACTACATATATATATATATATATATATATATATATATATATATATATATATATGTCCAAGTAGTCCACACGTTTTTATTGCAAAAATCTACTATAGCTAAGTGTCTACACAATCGTGTAGGAATTCTACCTTTGAAAAGACATTACTGACATTACACTCACTGAGGCATTACGGTCCCGATAATTTACAACTACTAAAAGCGAAACGTTTCCTCATTATGCAAATGAGCTTTATTCTCGGTAAAATAAAAAAAGAACAATAAATGACAAATGTACACTGACCCTTTTCTAAAGCTAATTGAGTTCCCCTGAAGCAAAGTGGCTTGTTTTGAAATAAGCCTTTTAACACCATAACACTTGAGCTTATAGACAACAACTGTTTTACGAAGTCGAATAAAGCGACCAGTTCATTCTAGAAGCCTTTTTTAGAAGGCACAGAGCACACACACCTGTTCGAGCTTGTTGACTGAACGACATGCAAGCGTGTGTCAGGCCGCATGATAATCCTGAACTTTGAACTTGCTGATCAATGCTCTGTGCGGCATATACAACGCTAACACGTGCGCATTGGCCGTACATATCGATTACGGCCCACAATGTAGAAGGCATTCCGCTACACGCCTCTCCCATATCATGACCGTCTAAAATGCAACGTTGCCAACAAAGCACAGATACAAAAAAGAACCCGCAGTTAAGGTGGATGTAGAGATTCAAGCATACGGTTGTTGCCTTCAGTTTATGGCGCTCGTGTCGAGAATTAAATACGGTACCGTTCTTAATTATCTTACTCGCTCATAACTGATCATTTGTAGGAAACATATTCGCGGTTTACTTAAAGTATCACAGTTTAGCCCTTGAATGTATATATGTAGTGTTCAAATATTTCGGGAATCATAGGTCTGAGCAAAAAAATTTATCGAGAAGAATCACATACTTACCAATAAAATAATGTAATGAGCCATCGTCTTTTCTCTGTACGCCCACCCGTGAGCCAACACGGACGAGATTTAAATCATACGCATAGTCGACACTAGTAGATGATCCTGCACACATCATAGTAGAGCCTGAGAGCATCCAGGTATCAGGTCGAGCATCTTTTGCAGTTGGCAGGAACTTCATTTGCTCAGGCGGAACCGACGTTACGCCTACCTCTAAGGAACCTTCCAAAAGTAAATAAGGCACGGATGAGATATTGAATTCAAATTTAAATAATAAAGGATACATAAATTGTTATTTACAACAATAAAAACAATTTTAGCTATTAAGCTCTCTTTATTTTTTTTAGGTCGTTGTATATAGCCTTACGGGTAGTCAACCAGCTAAATATGAAAATGCATGTATCTGTAGAAGAACTGAATCAAGTTCTGTAGTAATTTCTGATAATATAAAATACAAAGTCTAGTGGTTTGACCTTCGACCACTTATTGACCTTTCCATCGACCTTCCATTTCCTCGACAACGACCTCGAAAATCTCGTTATCATAAAGTGGCCGATCCGAAGTAACAATGGCTAAATTGAAGTCCTTGTAGGGATCTACACGAACAGCCGTTAAGCCCGAGTTAAGCACTAGAGCTTTTGCACCATGACGAGTCGTATGAAGACGAAGGAGGTCCGATCGAAAGTCTTCGATTAACGCTGCAACATTTATAACGTTTATAACCAATTTAGGTTGAAGGTAATATTAATCTACCGTCTCGAGTGGTAAATGTATTCGAGACCAATCGCAACAATCAAAAGGCTGAAGGTTTTTTAAAAATTATACTTTGTATATACTATATAGGCTTCAAGCTGAAAACAGTTGTTTTCAGCTTGAAGCCTAAGATGACAACTCACGTCTTTCTGGCTGAACAAGACTAACGACACATGTCTGAGGTGCTGGTCCACTGAGTAGCATAGAACCGACTCCCCAAAGCGGCAGTGGGGCAAGCTGCAGTGCAACGCCTAAGTCCCGGTCGTTGACACAAAAATGAACCGACGTATCCCGAGCTACGAATACACCAACCCGATCTCCCTTCTACAAGCCAGTTTTAACGACAACAATCGCACTTAAAAAAAAATAGCAGATAATACAATAATATACTGACGAACACATTAGTAGCCGTGAACTATAATTTAACTCGGGAACTTGGTAAAATGCGACTTGAACTTTGGGGGGTTCCAGTACGTAACATCATGAAATTAGAGAAAATACGCAAATAACCTTAAGTTGAGTGGCTACGTCACGGCCATAGTTCTTGTCGAAAAGTTGCCCATCGAGTGTCAGTCCTCTCGAGGGAAAAAACCATAGTCCGCTTTCATGAGAGACGCTACTCTCCGTTGTCGATGGAACACGCATTGCAACACCAATGGAAACGTGTGCTCCTAGCGGCAACGCCCTCAAACGGACAAGAAACGCCTCTCCAATTCGAAGTGATCGCTCTGACAGCAAAGTTGCGGACTGTACAGAGCCGCTGCTCCTGTATTATCATATAATAAACGATATGTGCAGGTAGATGTCATATATGAATCTATTGTTTAATAACAAGCTATCATCTAACAAAATATCATATCTTTTTAAACGTTAGAAAGAAATATTCAAATAAAATGTTTTGGAAAGAACAGACGTGGCATCTGCGGTCGAGTAGCTATGCTGCATACAAATTGAAATTCCTCTTAAATATGAAAATTTGCATGCATTGAGCATCATAGGCTTAGGATAGCTGGGTGAGACGTTAACCAACAATTGGCGAAAATAAATTTCCAGCTACATAAACATCGATATACCGTTGACACAAATTGCTGAATTGTCGCTTAAACTGCAAACTGATATTTTTTCTAACTGCGCCTTATTTTCCTTAACTATATACCTATATCGCAGTTTTCCGTAAGCCTACTTCTTCCCTCATATACATACACAAAAAGGGCAGTTCTCAAGTCAGTAGAAAATGCTACGGAATCAGTGGCCGCAAAACATAGTGGCCGTTGAAACCATTGCAATCGATCCTTAGAGTTCCATCCCATTGCTTGCTGGTCGTCATCCTGATCCTGCAAGCCAGAAGAGATGGCACGATGAATAGTATTAGTTTTTAGCAGCTGACTTTGTGTTTGTGTGATAGTGAAGCCCACAACACATGCACACATTTTGATTGTCATGCTTACCCAAACTCAAGCACTTGCTAATATATCATAATCCACCCTCGCGCTAGATGTGCGAAAAGGCTACCTAACGCTTTTGTCTGGTACTCTCAACCCACTAAAAGGGAACTCAAACTAAATTACTTTGAGTCCAAGCTTGTCGCAATTATTTTGTCGCCATTCCGTTCTCTTCTCATTCCGTTACACTGCACCACTTGTCTTATTCCTCTACATTGATTACCCCGTTCTTCTACCGAAAATAACCGTTAATTATTCATCCTTGAAGGTTATTTTGCTATTTCAAGATAAACTTCGTCGTGATCTTGCATATTCCCATAACTGGGCAGCTTGAAAACAATATAAATAAGAAATTTAACAGCAGAGATATTTTTCAGACACATTCAATCGTTTATTTCGACAAAACAGCATACGGCAAACTACATGATAAAAATGGGAAAGGCTGATTTTTTCGAAATATCAATTTTGTGTCAGTTATCCCCGTGAATGCAGTTATTTTCATCAATTCATTCAAGGTACTTAACGACATAGTTTCGTTTGTAGCTCAGTGACAAAATTCATCTGCAGTTAAGGTTGCGTGTGCGCTCATATACACTTATGTGCTTTATATTTTATGTATTATAGAAAAATCCTTACCTAAAAATCAATATTACTGAGCGACTCACCTCATCTGTCTGTTGTTGCTGTTGTGCTAGTTGTACTACAATAGATACTTGGGCTGACCGGCCGTATAAATCAACTACGCCATAAACTCCCTCCGGAACATCCGTCGCTGCAACCCCCTGATCAACTCCGTTGATCACAAAGTGCACATGCCCTCCAGAACGCCACACAACACCGACCCTGTCACCCACCTGTTCGTAGTGGCCATATTTTGTATTAGGTAAATAGCTAGTGCAAGCTTTGAGTTACTAGTGGCTAATGTGTGGTGTTGGAAAATAATTGCTTTAGAAAGAATACGTTAGTAAGGTTTATCAGTGAAGAGCTAAAAAGCGGCAAGAAAAAACTATATACACTCAATGGACTGTAGAAACATCAAATAGTGAAAAGTTAGATTTAATAAAATACTTTTGGAATTCTAACAGGCCGATGACACATGCCTTCAGAAAAAAATATAGTGAAACTTTGTAAAACTCTGGCTAAGCTATAAATGTAGGCCAATAGGTACGATTAATATTTTTTTTTGTATTTATAGTTTCTCTAGCATGAAAAAGCTTTTAAAATATGTTGGGCAAAAATAAAAAGATTTGAGCTATAAAGGTGGCCTAATAAAAATTCATGCAACAAAAGACAATTTCCCAGAAAACTTCTTTGATCTGTCCCTTACCACACTTAATTAAAAAAAATAAAACGTATTAAAGGAAAAGTATTAAAAAAGTTAAAGAATGGCGTGGACAAAGCTATCTAATAGGATCAGTAATAAACTGTCTAGAACTCGCATGTAGACGTTTCTTTATTCGGGTTGTTACTACGAAAAATATTTTGCATTCAATATAAGTTCAGTACAGAAGAGCAATGATAATAGTAATAATTTTTACTACTCAATTTTAAACTCAGTGTACATATATTTACCCGTAAATGATCAAGATCAGTTGATGCGTACGCGGTCTTCGTTGTCATTCCATTAACTAGAATACCTAGACCGTTCATCATTATGGTTCCAGATCTGTAACCAGTGCATGTTATAAACATTTTTGAGATAGAATTAACTGCATTATCCTATCGCATACCTCCCATGTTGACTACGATTTTTTTTTTGCTTCCGATGTAACAGAGATACTAAAAATTAAGAAACAATCAGAGCTATTTGTGCGAAATTAGATCTTGTATTGATATGCAGCTTGACATATGCATTGGCTTTACGTTTGGAAAACAAAACTTTATTACCAAATTGCGAATACTAAAATGTCTTTTACAAACCTTTGCTTTCTGACTGTTCCTTAAATTGTAAAAATCTTGAAAGAAAATTTGAAACACGTATATTTCAGTAACCATATGATTAGAAGCGAATTTTCAAATAACTATTTCTATATTGATAGTGGATAAAACTATAAATATGATTTTATACTCATAAATATTACCTTTTACTAACTAAATATGTCGCTTTAAGTCAACTTTGCGTGCATTTCAAGGAAGCAACTGCTGTATTTTTTGAACTGCTAGCATTAATAATAACAATTTACAAACCTCATACAAGTCATTGTTTCGGGAAAGTCGAGTTGTTCTGGACTATGACTAGTTACTCCAACCTCTAACGAACCGCTCCATTTCGTTACTAGGGCATCGATCCGAATCTCGAATAATTCGTTGTGTCTGTAAAAACCGCGTTGCAAATACGTCTATGAACGAAAATAAAGGATGCAGATCTTTTTAATGGGATGTTAAATCGGTCTCTATACGTCGTTCTTAAAGGAAAACGCAGTTTTCTTCAACCGCAAAAAAAGAAATCACTATTATAAACGGAAACAGTTCATAGTATCGAGGTTATTAAGGGGTGTTACTTCTTAAATGTACTACCTCAAAGGTCGATTACTCAGAATGACACCATGGTTAAACTGATCGATTGGGTGGACCCTCTCGGCTGACATAAGGTCCGGGGCTAGACGAATATTGCTGCCACATCGTTCATGGAACCGCAAAGGGCCTTCTGCAGTATCTTGCTCTCCCGAGGAACTACAGCAGGCCAGGTTTGATGCTCTTGAATTTTCTCGGGAATTCCCCATGAAATTCGTCGATGCGTTAAGCCGGCGCTTACCGACCGTCATGATGCGAGATGTAAAGGAATCGCTGGCTGAATTCTGGTATGCTATAGGAGGAGTAGTAAAATTATCAAACATGCAAGAAGCCACTTGTTCACGGTTGGACGCCGATGAAGAGGTTATCATTGGCAAAGCAAGAGAATTGGGTGAGGGTACCGCGAGTATATCTGTAAAACATATAATTTTCATTATTTAGCGTTCCATCCAGAAAGTTGCATAAAAACTGCATCAGTGAAACTGAGGTTACAGTATGAGTTTTGGATGTAAATATGTTTTTTTGAAGGTACATACTTCTAAACTAGATTAAAGACTCTTTAAGTTGACCTAAAATATCTAACCTGACCTAAAATAAAATTTATAGACATAAATATACGCCACTAAGCCACTTACTCATATTCTCAACAGGTACGATATCATTAATAGATATTTGTACACACTTTCCATAGAGATCAAGCACGGCAAAGAGACGAGACGGAGTGTTACTAGCAGCTACCCCTTGATCTACACCGTTTACGACGAAATGAACACTCCCATTGCTTTGTCGAACGACTCCAACACGATCACCTTTTGCTAAATTATCCAAATTTGCCGTTCCTAAAAATTATATATAACATTTTTTAACACCACTCCGACTGGAAAATCAGTTAATCAAAGAATACTAGACACGGTAACGTACCACAAAGAGTATTGTATGGCCTATATATCATTAGAGATCATCATATGGATTATATATCATTAGTAGATATGTATATCTCTGCCTAACATGTATTTGTCAAGAAAACGTCTATAGTTGACTGGTTAATGGTACTATCAATTTTAAAAAATATTCGCATGATCAACATAAAACATCGTGAAACCTAGTTATGTTTAAAATCTATATACGCGCCACAGATCAGGATTTTTTTACGTTGAATAAGATTTGAGAAACAAACAAATAGAAATATTTTACTCAGATTTTAACAATCATAACATACGTGACTAACTAAGACAATAATTTGTCAAAGTGTAAGATAATTCCCAAAGCAAATTCAACTCTTTAGGTTAGACATTAAATAGCGTACCATAATTTTCAATAATTTGTTTGCCGTTATATAGGATGCACGTCCCAGTATAGAGCCACGTACATGCCTTCAAGTGGGCAGCCGAATCTGGTAATGTGTCGAGACCGCGGGGGTCTCTTGCGGTGACACCAAGCTGAATCGACCCTGTCCAAGTTGGAACCTAAATGTCAATGAAACAATTATAATGCAAAAATATAAATTTCACTATACGCGGCAATCAGGATGATATACTGTACATTTCATAAAGGTATGGGCGTATGTGTTATTTATGATGAAAAATATCCTTAAAATGCTTTCAAGTGCATTCCTTGTCATAAAAATTCAAATGGGACGCAGATTCGATATATCAGTTTACTATTTCTAACTATTTACGGACTATTTCTGGCACGACTTATGTTTAATATTAAATTGACATTATTCGGCTCACTAGAGCATCGATCGTCACGCTGACAAGTTCGTTGTCTTCGAGAGCCTGAGAAGTTAGTACGATGCCATTATTGAATTCCTGAACGGCGTTCCGTCGTGTTGCGCTCCTCCGGTCCTTACAAAGAGAAAAATCAGAAAAAGGTGTTGTCAGTAATCTTTTTTTAAGTGTTTTTTAATCATAATATAATGTGTCAGTTTTGGATGGGATATTTAGAAACTATAGGTTTCAGCGCTTAGTTAAATATAAGTAATATCAAAGAGCTTTTTGTTATTGACGGTACCACAAATAATGGTAAATAAGAAAATTTAAGGAAACACATAACTAAAGCCATATTGTGTTTTATTGTAGTTATGTGCAGTTATTTAAAGATCAAGAAGCTCCAATTCCCTCTCCACTGAAAAATTAAGAACACCGTTAAACCAAGTAACACCATTAGGTTGAATATGCTGAGCTTAGTGCGTTATATATGAGTCAGCTAGTTTTCCAACAGACAGAAGATTCTTTCTAAGCATAATCTATGAATGTAAAAGAAGACGGTGTAACTGCTTCCGGAAATAAACATTGACATTGGATTGGCAAACAGTTCACAAGAATTATTCTGTATGGAAAGCTTACATACTAAAACTATAAGATGTAGGTAATTTTTAGAAACTAGATTACTACCTCGTTTATTATTAGGAAATTATATAGCAATATAACGATAATTTCTTACTATAGGTCTCTACAGCGCATAGACTCATGCTAGAGTTTCCTTATTTGACTTATTTTACTTTTAGGATTTTTTTTTAAGGATTTAGGAAAATGTCTGCGAGGCTATTGCAATTTGAGAATCATCGGGGGAAAAGAATTTTAAGTTTCGAAGCATAAATGTGTATTAACCAGTAAAAAATCAAGAATAGTTGTAAGCAGAATCTCAAGTTTATACTTGTTTAAAACATCTCTAATAAAATTCGTCCAATTTAATACGCCACAAGCCGTACAAGAGACTCCATTAGGTAAAAACTGTTGTAACGAAGTCATATGCGCTAAAGAAAAACCAGTATATTTTAATCCTAGGGTAATGACATGTCATTATAGCGATACTTTATAGGATCAATAGAACCATTAATAAAAATGTTTTTTTTTTGTTAAAACGATTTCATTTATTCTATTGATATTATTATTATTATTGATATAATTTTAATCAAGACTTTAATCATACATAGGGTAACGCTTTATATAGAAGGGATCATATATTTTTTATCACCTTTACTTACCGCTGACACTGAAATGGAAGAACCACAAGGTTCCTGGACCAGCAGAATGGTCATCATTCAAGTTCACATCTGAAGCGTTCGCCCACTCAAAACGCACAATAACACCCCTTATACTAACGCGAAATTATTAATAGTGTTTCGTCAACACCTGTTCGAATTATGTCGTATAACACAAATTGATTTTCCATGTTGACTTTGTGTCTTCCTCCCACGCATAGATTTATATGGGAGTAAATGATATTATTAACGGCGCAGTACCTCAGTAAATTCTAGTAGCACGAACAATAATGTTTCCGCTGTTCCATTGCCATATGATATCTATAAGACACTGTCGCAGTTGTTCATTACATGAACTTCAGCCATTTCGCTGCCAGAAACATACGATCTCTATAGAATATTGTCCCAAAGTCAGCGAATTAGAAGATCAACGGTGGAATCTTAGCAGGATGATACTCCGCTGTTCACATTACCCAAAGAAAATCATCCGTTGTTCATAATCTGATTTCAGGGTTCGTCACCAAGTATCTCGCGAAAAAATTAATTTTAATGGAATATTTAAATAGTATATTTAAATAGCATATGTAGTATTTAAATAGAATATTAAGTATTCGCAATTATAGATCAGTGCTCTTTCTTATAGAGAAACCATCTCTCCCATACATGCGCCATACTTGACACTCGACAACAGCAAACCATCGACATGGAGATCCCACATATACGCTATTCTACTTCGACACATCCTGGAAGTATTTCAGGCGGGTCGTCTGGCAGGCGGCTTAATATTTGCGCGCTGTGCAATTCACTACATACAAACGTTGTGCTATATGAATATGTTGCACGGTAGCCCTAAACCAAAGTTCAAGCTGTAACTTGTACAATATTTCGGTCAACTCACTATATTTTTCTTATAGAATTGTTTTTGCGATGGATTTGGCACGAGTAAACAATTGCCTTGGTTTGATTGTAATTACTATTCTTTAAACAAAAACATTAATTATAATAATATAATCTGCCAGAAGAAAATTTTTTTTACGTAACTTTATAAAGTTCTTAGAAGTGATTTCTAATTAACCAAGCTTTCTTATGGATTGCTTTAGGTATCTAAAAAGAGTTTTGGGAGGGTATCTCACGTTACTTAACTCTACCAAAATTTTCACTCAAAGAAAAAACCTCGTATAAGTACTGCATTAACAGCTACGCAATGTTATGCCAGTTGATTATTCGAAATATCGTCGAGCACTTAAAACCATTGAATCGACTGTTAGAATGATGCATAACATGCACTCAACCTCCAGCGCTGTGCCTGAGCATATAATACAGCAATGTAATAAATAAATATACCTAGTTCCCTTCGAGAAAAAAAGCTATGCGACTTGCATCGCAGAGTGATGAATTTCATACATCCAAGAATACTTTATAAATAATTTTAAACTTAACTCTTCTGCCCTTCCTAAATAAATACAACTTAAAAAATAAATAAATTATGCTTAGTTGACTTAATTGTAGCAAATGCTCTGGAAAGTAAATTCCGAGTCACATATGGCCACTTATAATTTTTTTTGCACAGCAGTACAAAGGAATACCTCGAAGTTGCGTGCAGTGCACGGTAAAAGTATTCGATTAATCTTATTCTATTCCTACGGACAAAGTAGCTTGAATGATAGGGCAGAGAATAATTTATTACAAACAAAACAATACTTTACAAAAACAAGTATTGCATACAACTTTTCGGTAAAAATGGAATGCGCAGCAATATTTATTTATGAAGTAAATATAGATATTATTTTAATGACAAACCAAGAGTATTCGCTGTTTCATCATCTTTCGCATCAATCCCAACATTCAGCTAGCATAATACAACGACCAGCTGAATGACGAAAGATCTCTAGAGATATCATACAAAAATGTAGGCCGGTTGCCCCAAGCACTTGTATTTTATTATTTTTGTGTTGTGTGGTAGCCACCACATATTGCAATGAAAAAAGTCAATAAATTTCTACAGTTCTCGGAAATTAATTTTTATACCATAGGCCAAGCACCAGAGTATCTGGGGGTTAGGTTACGAGAAAGCTATTTAGCGCAAAGATGGAACCAGGGTGATTGCTGTGTAAGCAAAAGTTAAAAAGTAAAGAAGAATGAGGGTCTTCCGAGGAAAACACAGCGGATGCTTTTTGAATAGGTAAATTCCTGTCCACATCGATCCTTGCAGCCATAGCTTCAGGTACAATGCTACCATGGGATGTTATGGTTGAGGAACGAAAAAAAGCGGGGAACAGACACCTGTCCAAGAAGAGGGTACAACACGCAAGCGGGACTGTGACGCTGAGACACGCTGAAAAGTTTGAGCAGCAAGAGTAGGCAAACGTAACAAAGGTCGTTGCCTGAAGTACGACGTTGATATGAAGGTCAAAGAGTACTACGGAAAGAACTTCCGAGGAACGACATAGAACTCAACGCAAGCCCTCGTTAGCTACTAATGTTTTCAAGAGTCCTTCGCAGAAAAAGAAAGGCGCCAAGTGGCTCATATATAGAATGCGACGGCGACGTGTGAGATTAAAAAAACTGGACCTTTGTGTAGGACAGACGGTAAGCTAATAGTATGTTTCAAGGTAGAAAGTTGAACAGTAATCTTTGAAACGTATAAGTACAATGGGTGCTTCAGTTAGTAGACGCTGGCCAAAATACCACATAACTGTGGCAAGCGCTCAGAAGTCAACGCCGGTGTTTATCATGCATGCGGCACCACTTCGGGGTTCGGTACTACTACGGGGTGATAAATTATTTTTCATAAAAAAACCCTCTTGGCTAAATATATAGGTGAGGTGTAAAGTTCACATAGAATAATAATGAAGAAAGCTTTCGCTCGCTGACATAAAATTTACATCAAAATATTTTAGTACCGTGAAGTTCTTGTTAAAACTCTTCAATTTTGAACGCTGGAAGCCAAGCGACATTTTCGAAAGGTTAGAGTGCTCTAATACACTGTAATTTAAATCAATTTGGCCAATACACCCCCTAAAAAGAAAATATGCGAACCATTGCACCAATGGTGGCATTTATTGTTCAGTTACTTCCAACTAGCAATTTCACAGTTTCAAGCGCATTTTCAAGCTTATTTTTGTGCTAAGAGAACGTTCAAACGCAAAACTTCGATACTTTGAGAACTGAAAAATAATTTGAAGTACGAACTAACCGTGAGTGGCTAGTGAATTTGCAAACAAAGATATTAGATACAAAACTAAGCTTTGACCATGAAGTCGTGGATAAGTGCTTAAGATTCTAATCCAGCTTATATTACACTATGCGATGCGTGGATTTAACCACCGAATACGAAACAAAAGGTTTTTATTCAAGGAACCCAACCTTCAATTGCCGATTATGCGATAGCCAGTGGTCGTCATGCTATTTTTTGATGATTATAGAAACTATATTGTACTTATCGTGCTCTCGTTCAATTTCATGTTAGTGTTTTCTGTGTACATTTGACTTGAAAATGTTTTTAGCGAAGAAATAAAATCGAAGTTTACGTCACTTTTGATTTATGCCTAGATAATACCTTAAAATATATTTATAGTACTGTTATCTAGGAAACGTCGCCGTACTTTACCCAGGAAAAATTAATTTTCCGTAGTGCCAGGAGTTGGAAAAATATAGCACAGTTTTTGATAGCAATTTCCAACCTCTACACTCAGCCAACCATGTAATGAAAATGTTAAGTAGAATTCATAAGCTTGACGTTACAATTTGAGAGTAAAAAATAGACAAAAATGTGCTGTTTAAGGTGAGGCAACTTATACTTTAATTCATTTTGTGTTCCGCCCTTTGGACAGCCACAGGGGTAAATACATTAAGAAAAAATATCTGTTTCGATAAAACAACTTTTTCAAAGCTAATATTTAAATAATGACACCTTGAATCAATATTCTTAATAAACAATATTATCAAAAAATAATTAAAGAATAAAAGAAAATTCTCAAATTATGACAAATGGATATGCCATTGTTACACGTATTGTCAAGTTGTGAGCCTAAAATGGCGCCACTAGTGGTAGTGATCGCCATTTCGAACTGAAATGTCGAAATCTTACTACGCGTAAAGCCTGTTTTTAATTGCGTCGCTATCGAAAAAAAAGTGTAAAACTCCGGCGTTTATCTCTATATGCAAACAAAAAATTGCGGCCAGAAGAGTTCAAGAAAATTCACTTTCTACATGGTCTATAAATGCTGAGAATCTCTATCTAACAGAACGGTAATCTAGGGATTCGCGCTCAGTCAGAGTAGGAACATATTCTTACGGGCTTATGGTGGGCATGTGCGGTAAAAAAAACTAATTATTCGTTGAAGAAAACGACAAGCTAATTACAGCGGACGCAAGAAATTCTTCATCGGAATATGCTGCACGAAGTGCGCGGCAATTATAAATGCCCTTAGTTACCCAAAATTCATAGTCGATGTTATTTCGAGTTCTTACCCAGCTTTAAAGAGTGCAAGGGGAAACTCCTATATGTTAGGTTACAAAACACACAACAAAAAATATTTCTTATGGGCCAGAAATAAATTTAGAAGAAAAACACAAAAATGTGTACCTAATGATATTAGTAGTCAGATTGAGAGTCTAAAGGTTATTTTTTAAAAACGAATATGTCGGATACCTTACAAAAATTTCAGGTCCGCTTTTTATATAAAAATTCGGAGCTCAGTAGCAAAAGTTAAGAGATGTTCTCATAAAGTTGTTCTGTAAAGCAGTTTGGAACAAGAAATTTTTTATTCTTTCTCAATGAGAAAATTATACTGCTGGTACAAAGCTCAATCGAAAAAAGACTACTGGTCCGTCCACTATTTTAGCACCGATAAACATTTATAATCTGGCTCGCTCTTAACATTTTTTTCATATACATTTGGAAACTGAATTAAAACGTACTTAAAAAATACCCGCTAAAATATTTAGTGCTATGAGTTTTATTGTTGATAAAATACTTACAGCATCCTATGAACTCCGTCTCGCCAGTAGAGTCGTTTCCGTATTTCTTCACTTGTAATAAATCAACAAACGGGGAATTTTTTCTTTTTTCTATTTTATCTTATATATTGATTAGGTGCGTTTTATGGCATTACTTGAAAAATGCGATTAGGTACAGAGAGGATTAGAAGATTGATCAAGAAGCAACTATTTATATTTTATCAAGATTTTCATGTCTTTGATTTAGAAAGGTTGGTAGAAAAAATATCCTCGACACAGAGTATCTAATGTAATTAAAAATAAAAGTTATTCGAGCTGAGTTTAAAGTATACTTTCACATGGCTAATAGAGGTTACAGTGAAATCTCCCAAGAGACATAAATTTACTACGATATATTTGTACGTAAAGCCTCATATACGAGGTATCATAGAATACTGCAGAAAACAGATGTTGGATTTGCATATTTTGATAAGCGTATAAGTGCAGTTTATTTACAAATGTTGTGGCTTATTTTTGACTGCAATGGGATTAGTACCTGACGTAGTTAAATTTCTATTAATTCAGACCTCAAAGCCCCACGTGGATGGAAAAGCGATACAAATCCATTACCTGCCACCATTAGGAGTTAGCACAATAAACCGCCATAAAGACTACAGACAGAACAACATATCTACAGGTAGGAAAAATTCAAATATTATTTTTAAAAAGTGACAAGAGAAATATATAACACAAATAACAAAGCAAGAACAGCAACATCAGTCAGCCGATTTTGATTTAATAAATACTTATTTATCAGTAAGAAAATATGTTTTACGGCTTGTACATACAGTCCGAA